ACCGCCGATTCCGCCCGCGACGCGCCCGCGCCCCCGCCGCCCCCGCCCGGCCCGCTGCCCCAACCTCCGCCCGCGCCGCTGCTCTCTCGCGCCCCCTGTCCGCCACTGCTCGCCACTGCTGCCCCGCCCAAGAGGAAAGGGGCGGAAGAAGACGAGGACGAGGAGGAAGAGGAGGATAGGAAGAACTTGGGGGGAGGAGGAGGAGGAGGAGGAGGAGGAGGAGGAGGAGCAGGAGGAGGAGGGAGGAGGAGGGAGGAGGAGGGAGGAGGAGGGAGGAGGAGGAGGAGGGGGAGGAGGAGGGAGGAGGAGGGAGGAGGAGGGAGGAGGGAAGGGGCGGGGCGGGGGCACTGCGCCCCGGCGGGGCGTTGCCGCCGCGGCGTCGGACGGCGGCTTTGACCCCGCGCGCCGGGGCCGTGGAGGGCCGGACGCGGCCTGAGCGGGGTGGGCCATCCTGATCGGCGTTCCCCTGAGCCCTGATCGGCTCGCTCTCCTCTGCTCTCTGCTGACCCTGGCCTTACTGCTGAGCGGCAAGGCAGTCGGATGCGGCTATTCTTTGTTGTCCTGATGCTGCATGACTTGAGACCGGTCCTATGCTGAAGCGGTGGGCAGCGGCAGCAGGGGGGGCGCAGGAGGGGGGCGCCCCAGCTGTTGCAGGTAAGGGGGGCGAAGCGCGATCGAGCAGTTGCAAGCAAAGGAGAAACCAGGGCATCGCAGACCAGAAGCAAGAGCAAGCCAGCAGGGGTGGGGGCGAACCCTTCTGCCGCGGCACGCCTCCGCCCACGCTTTTGCCAGGGGATTCTCCAGGGGGGGGAACAGAAAGGCAACCCTGGGGAACCCAAACAGGTGCCGATGCTGCGCTCCCCCCCCCTGAATCCCTCCCGGGGGTTGCGCCCCGACCAAAACATCGAGGCGAATCCCAGCGGGTGGTGGCCGGCGACGAGGGCCTCGAGGGAGGGATGGCCACAACCCACCAACCAAACCAAACACTGTGGGGAACGGTGAGAGTGAGGAGGAGGAGAGAGAAGGAGGGAGAGAGGCGAGAGAGAGGAAGAAGGGGTGGTCCAGACCCTCCACCGGTAGAATTAAGAAGTATAGGTATTTCTGCCCTGGCTCTTAATCCTCTTGAAGAGGAGAGGGACGGGAAGGGAACCGTTCGAACGACGTCGGTTAGCACAAGCCGACGACGTACGCGGAGCCCGAGAACGGTGTGGTGACTACACCCGCGTGGTGATTTTGAGACAACGGAGGATGGATCCGAAAGTCACGCCCCACGGTTTACCGCGTTTGGGGACTTTTCGGGTTAAGTCGGGCATGTCCTCCGACAAGGGGATTCTAGACGACAAATCAAACGCACTAAAATATACACCAAATTAACCCAACAAATAATCGACACATAATCCCCAGACTATTTTTTAAAATACATTTTGTTGAATATTCTTCCTGTAGGGGGACATACCCGATTTAAAGCTCGGGTCGTTTTTCCAGGACGCTTCGGGCGACCAGGGTCTCCAAATTCCCGAAACCGCGTGGCGACGGACCGCGCGACGGGGTCGGGGGGGACTGCGAGGTCACCACGCAGCCTGTCACCACACGGCCCCCGAACGGCGATGACGAACAAACCTTGCTCCCCAGAGGCCCCCGGCGGCCCCTGGAAGCCCTCCGCTCCCTGCTGGAGAACATAAATCCGCCCCCAGAAGAAACGCCCTGACGAGCCAAGCCGCTTGGCAAGCGCGCCCCGGGGAAGGAATATCGAACAAGGCAGGGTTGCCTCGGAAACGCCGAGGGTCGACTGGGAAACGCCAAAGTCGTCGGGGTCGGGGCGGCTTCCAGTGCTGAGCCTAACGCTGTTTTGTCCGTGCTGTTTTCGTTTCGTTTTTCGCACTTCCCTGCCCAAGAAACGAAGAACAAAACGCGGGCGAAGTCCAGCAAAGCAGCTTTGAGGTCGAGCCCCGGTGGCTTCTCCTTCCCTTGGGCCCATGCCCTCAGGGGGGCCCTGGAGGCGCGCGGACATCCAGGACCTCGACCCCTCGCCCCTTCGACCCCCCCTCGACCCCTCGGTCCCCGTCGGCGCGGACATCGAGACCCTCGCCCCCCCCAGCCCCTCGACGCCTCGACCCCTTCGGCGCGGACATCGACGACCTCGCCCCCCTCGGCCCCCTCGGCCCCCTCGGCCCCTCGAAAGCCGCCGCCGGCCGCCCCCGCCCCGCCCCGGGCCCGCCGTCTGGGCGACCTCGGTGGCGTCGTCGTCGCAATGGGCGCTGGCGGAGCCGCCCGTCTTGCGGCGGGCGCCCTGGGCCGCCGCCGCGGGGGGGGGGGGGTGCGCTCGCCATCGCTCGGGCGCCCGTTGCCAGCGCGCGTCTTCGGTGGTTTCGTGCGCGCGCTCCTGAGCTGCCCGATGGTCCTCGCCGAGGAGAAACGCGCGCATCTCAGCGAATGCCAGGGGGGGGCCGCTGGCCGTCGCTGGGACGCCCGTTGCTCGCGCGCGTCTTCGGGTTCGTGCGCGCTTCCTTTTGCTGTCCGATGGTCCTCGCCGAGAAGAGAAGTCCACGCGTCTGCGCGATGCCGAGGCAGAGGGGGGGAGTGCTGGCCGACCTCGGGGGCGTCGTGGCAGTGGCCGCCGGCGGAGCCGCCGGCCTCGCGGCGGGCGACCCTGGCCGCCGCGAGACGGGGGAGGGGACGCTTAATGGGGGGCACCATATTTTTGTTTCCCACTGACCACACAGCTGGGCTCTGCGCGCCCGATCGCACGGTTCGTAGGCTCCCTCGGGAGCCCACTCGCTCAGTCCCCGACGTACCCGATGTCCACGAGGTTCACCGCCACGTCCTTGGACTTGCCCTTGGCCGCGCCTCCCCGCCCAACCGGGTCGAATCGGACGACCGCCTGACATCCTGTCTGTCCCTCCCAGCTTTCGAAAGGGCGAATGGTTGCTCTGCCCGCGTGCGCGCGTCATATAGCCGACCTGGACCGATCCCATCGTGCTCTGCGCCATCGGAACTGGGCACCTCGTGGGTGCCACCTGGGGGGCCTCTTTGGCCCGTGGGGCCTGCGGCACCTGCGGGGCCTGTGGGGCCTGTGGGACCTGTGGGGCCTTTGTGGGGCCTGCGGGAGCTGCAACGCCAGCGGGACCTGTGGCACCGGAGGGGCCCGTGGGACATTTGTGGGGCCTGCGAGGCATGCCACACCTCTAGGACCTGTGAGACCTGTCGGACCCAGGGGACCTGTGGGGCATGCGAGACCTGCAAAATCGGCGGGACTTATCAGACCTGTGGCACTTGCGAAATGACCTGCGACACCTGTGGGCCCTGTGAGACTTGCGGGGCCTGCGAGACCTGCGAGACTTGGGGGACCCATGGAAGAGCACGATGCTCGGGCGGGAGCGTTTTTCTGAACGGCAAGAGCACCGCTCCGATACGAACACGAAGCCCACGCTGCAGCGGGAGCACCACTTCGAAAAACCCAACACAGACGGATTGTAAAACAGACGTGTGAAATAACAACGTTTGAGATCTCGTGCGTGAAAACAATGAAGAAGGGGCGGCACATCTTCCGCACAATTTCAATGGAGAGAGAAAAGTATTCACACATTGTATGATTATTGGGACAGTGGGTCTTTTTTCCCCATATCGTTTCGCCAGAGGGCTCTCATGGAGGAAGGGTGCCACGGAACAGTCCCACAGGAAGTCCTAGACCAACCAGTCCTGTAGCCGTTCCACCTGAGTCCCGAATAGACGGTCGCGGTAATGATTGAAACAGCCCATAAGCCTCCAAAACAAACTTCCCCGCGGGATGTTCCTCCACGTCAACCGTTTGTGGCTCTCGATGCACACCCACAGTAAAGCGACCGCCGCAAGCGACCGCCGCTGCCAAAACAGCGGCCGCGAGCGCGTAATAAGGCCATTGCTTCTTCCGAGATCGCTTGTGGGAGTTCTGACTGCGCCCAGCGGCCGCTGGCAAAGGTCGTGCTGCGCCTAGGGATTGCCGAGGTCCACCTGGACCTACTCGGGATGAAGATGATGATGATGATGATGATGATGATGTGGGCAACTCTGGAGGCCAGGGGCTATCTTTTTGTGCAAAGGACTCGGCAACAGGCGAGGACAGCGGACGCATGCTGTCGCGATGCACCAGGAAAAACATTCTAGAGCGGGAAACAGGGCGGGCGGGAGAAGCTTGAGAATGGAAGTGCGGCCCGAAAGAGAGCCACAAAAAGCCGCGGGCAGCAATAGGTGGGCAATTCTGGAGGCCAGGGGCTATCTTTTTGTGCAAAGGACTCGGCAACAGGCGAGGACAGCGGACGCATGCTGTCGCGATGCACCAGGTACCTAGGCTAGCCCATCCCACTGGCTTGAAAGCCGCATTAACTGAATTCACACAGCTCTGATCTGCCGAGCAATGTAGCGAAGCGAATCAACACTGAGAGCCATCCTGTCGCAGGCGCATCTTAGAACATTAGCGGGGAGCCGCAGCACTTTGCTGCGTACCTGCCGATCTAAAGATGGGATGCCGAGCTCGCCAAGATGCCGTTTCCCAGATCGGCAGCAACGCGAGTCGGCCGGCGAACAGATAGCAGAAAGAGAACTCATGTCTTGTACATGCCAGCTCACTAATCGAAATCTTCTCTTTATACGGCCAGCGAACATACATGCATCGAAGACGGCAGCAGACGAACACTGGCTAACTATAGCTTTGCAAGAAGGGACATCCCAGATGAAAGACGCATCTGGATGACGCAGAGCGGCTGGAACCTTATTGTCGCTACACACTGACAGAAGGCGCACAAAATGACTGAGAAACAGATTCGCAATGGCAACTGATCGAAGCTGGGCACTGGACAGACTCGGCAGGCCGTTGGCTCGAGCTTTGCTACGGACAGCGGGCTTCTGAGGGAGCCACGTAGTCGTGTCGGGCTCCACCCACACGCACGAGATACAGCCTGCACGAATCCATCCGAGCACGCGCTTCATCACTAAAGGATCTGTGATGTCATCAGTAACATGGCGTCTCACTTTCAAGTGCAGCACGCCAAAGCCGAGGCGCTGCAGAGCGCGAGCCGCGCCGCCGTCGCCGCCAATTACTAGGGCGGGCGAGTACCTGGACCGCGTCGCAGCACGCCTGGCTGCACGCCAAATCCTCGTCAGGCGAAGGCCCACCGCGCTGTCACTCGCGGAGGCGGAGGCCTGACCGCTGGCGGTGTCGGCGTCACGGCAAGCGGCACTTGCAGCGGGAAGACGCCTGAGGAGGCGGTCTGCAGAATGAGATCGTTCATCTGCGAGTCGACCGCGTGCCCGAAGTCGATCAAGTTCTGGCCTAGGGTGGCGATCCGCTGCTGCATACGAGCCCTCTTGGCATAGCGGAGGAGGCTCTGGTCCGTCCTCCATCGGCCGCGGTCCTTGACCTCCTTCCTGGTGCGTCGGAGAGACAGGAGGTCGTCGGACGCACCCCCATGCCGAAAGGAGTAGAGCGTCATCTCGGCCTCCAACCCGAGCGCAGCGGCAGCACGACGGAACATGCTCCGCACCTCGTCGGGGGCGAAGGTCCAGAGGCCGTCGCTCGTCTTCTTGCCCAGCACCAGCGCGTCGAGAAGGGGCCAGAGCGTCGGGTTGTCGACGATCACGCTCTCGTCCATCTCCCCTGTCTTCCCAGGACGATCGAGGCAGGCGTCGTTGACAATCAGGGCCCAATGTCCGTACCCGCGGGCGGCATCGGGTCTTGGTCGAATAACGCTGCCCGCTGTTAGCCGATAGGCCTCGCTGGGCCTCAGGTAGGTGTCGAACATCAGCCTGATAAACACTGCCATGCCGAAGAGCTTCCACGAGATGAGGACGCCCACAATGGAGGCCATCGCCGCCCGTGGAAGGGGTAGTCGCATCTGCGGGGGCACGAGCTTCCGCCAGCCTGTCAAGGCGCGAGCTGCACGCGGGCACGGCGCCCTGCCCACCAGGATCGAAGGCAGGTAGTGCTTCAAGGAGGCGAGCAGGACTCGGCCCGTAGCACTGTCGAAGCCGTCCAGAAAGAGGTTCACGAAGTAGGTAACTAGGATGACATCGACCTCCGCCGCCGTGGTGAAGGTCTGGGACGTCCAGCGGCACCACTCCTCGAACTTCTTGGCGGCGCCCCAGTAGTTGGCCATGGTTGTGTCCGACACGGCAGCTGACTCGAGGACCGAGAGCACACCCCGCCCGAGCCGTTGTGGTCCTGGATGCGTCTTGGTCCTCTGCTCCGTCACGGTCGTGGCTCGCTGGCGCCGAAACTCGGGGTGCAGCCGCTTGGTGCTCCTCGAAGGTCGGCCCGACAAAGAAACCTGTCCTCGACGGCGAGTCTGCGGCATTGCTCTCGCTAGGGATCCATCGCACAGCGTGGCGAATGCCGGAGGCTGCGGACAGAGCGCAGAGGCGTCGTAGTGGATCGCGAAGCCCTCGGGCACCAGAACGTCCCTTGCCAGCAGCAAGGGCTAGAGCCAAATTGTCGACGGTGAACAGGATGCGATGATGTCGAAGCCGTCCAGACCGAGACGAGTGTCGCATCGCAAATCCGAGAGCCTCCGCCTCGTATCGCATGATGTCCAAACCGAACCTCGAATTCCGTGCGCTATATATCGTAGACCAGCCGTCGGAAGCCGTGATCGAGTCGGGAACCTCGTCGAAGCCGTCCAGCGAAATCTCGTCGAGCCCTCGAGGTGATGATGATGCGGTGGGCGAGGGCTTGCTTTGGGCCTCGGGAGGCCTCGGGCACTGCTCGCAGTCTTTGAGGCCTCTTTTGCTCACGGCAGCTTCCAACACGACGTTCGGGTCGACTCCCAGAGCGTGGGCGCGGGCGTGCACGGCATCGGAGAAGCGGTAGCGCCATTTCTCGGACAGTCGACCTGCGGCAGCAACGACCTCTTGTTCCACGAACTTGCGACAAACGCCAATGCCGTATGGAGAGGCGTCGCTGCAAAAGGTGGTGGCCGCCCACTCTGCCCTGACATCAGCCCACCACAACGGGATGAGGGAAGCAGCGGCACGGAGCTCAGAGACGACTGACGGCCACAGCGGCAAAGCCCGACGCGAGTCCTGACCCATGAAGCGGTAGACTGCGTGGAAGATGGAGAGCATGGGCCTGTTGGTGATCATCCCCCAGGTGCAGTGCCCGACCACGGCGGACAACGCAAGCGGAGATGCGAGGCCACGTCTGAGTAGCCCAAGTAGGGCCTGGCGCAACCGCGACAACCGGTCCACCTTGCACCTGATGACGCCGACGTCGCCCAGGATGTCGAGGCCAGTGAAGGTGACGCGCTGCGCCGCGGGGGCGAACTCTTCTACAGGTAAGCCCCTCGCAACCAGCACGTCTCGAATGGCCTGGCACGAAGCGGTGGCAACTTCTGGACTGAGTGAGACGGTGGCGAAGTTATCCACGTAGCCAGCTGCGATGATGTCGCCATGGTCTCGCAGAGGACGAGGTGCTGAACCGTCTACCAGCATCGCATCATCGTCGATCCCCGAGTCGCGCATGGCTGCGGTTAAGGCTGACTGGCAAAAGTGGAGAGCCCACGACCGCCCCATCGGCATCACAGACACAAACGGTTGTAAGAAGGCCTTCGTGGGGAGCTTCAGTCCATTGACCGCCTTGAAACCCAAGTGCCGATTCGGGGCCACTGGCAGAGAGAAATATCTGTGCAGCTGGGGCGGCAACTTCATGTGATAGAATGCGCACTGGATGTCACCCTGCGCCACGTAGAAGTCATCCGAAGCCTCGAGCGCACTCCATGCCGACGGAGTCGGCAATCTCGTAGAAGGGGGGGCAGAGAAGGACATGTTGGCAACCCGCGTGTCGAAGACGAGCCGAAGGTTGACCCCATTGGATTTCTCAACGACGAAGAAGCCTGTGGAGTAGGGCGCCTGACGTTCGGCGACCTCCCACTCTAGCATGCCGGCCTGATCCAAGCGCAGCAAAAAAACAGCATACTCCCGAGGGCGAAACCGAAGGCGAGGATCCACGTATGGCGAACCGATGCCCGAGTCCTTCCTGAGAGTAGCTGTCTCCGCGGGATCACGTAGCATTTGTTGCCTCCACCCTGACAACGTTGAACGATCGGCGTCGGACACGAGATCGGCCGTGGGAACGGGGGCCACGTGCTTCGGCCAGGAGACGAGCTCCTTGTCGTAGGGTCTCACCCGAGACTCACCAGAGTATCCAGGCGCCGACGCGAGCAACTCTGCCAGGGCTGCCTCGCATCTGATCGGAGATTCGGAATATCCAGGAGGTAGTTCAAAATCGCGAAACTGTTGAGCAAGATACTCTTCAGCGTCGCTACGAGCGCGCGGAGGAAGACCTGGAGGCGGAGTAACCATATCATCAGGGTCGCAATGGTACATGTCGTTGAGGGTGGACACGGCATCGTTGTACCACTCTCTCCAGGCAGCACCCTTGGCGGCCCGTCCGCGGGCTGAACAACCCATCGACGCGATGCCAGATCGTCGCTCCACAGGGATAGGACGGAGAGGAAAAACGTCACGCTGCCGAACTTGATGAGCAGCGCTGGGGCAATGCGCCTGGCTGGCGCCACTGAGGCGCGCCCCACAGCCAGGCCTGGACTTCTCAGATATCATGGCGCCCGCAAGGCGCGCTCCTCACGCGCCTTGCGTCGTTCTTTGCTGATGGCGGCCTCCGCCTTCATCTGATCTGCGATGTATTCGAGCAGCTTCGGAGAGATGCACAAGTTGGCCTTGGAGACCCCCGCGCCCAAGAAGTAGCTCGTCTCGGCCATGCTGGCGGCGGTGGCCGTCGCGGCGCTCCTGGCTCCAGACTTGGCCTTGGGCGCGGCAGCCGTCGGGGGCGCCGAGCGAGACTCGTACACCCGTTCCTCCAGCAGCTGAAGCTGACGTGCGACGACCTCGAAGGACGCCATCTCCGCCACCTGCAGTTGGTCGTAGACCACGGCGAGGTCTAAGACCCGACAGAGGGTCTCATGGAGCTTGGCGTACTCGTCGTCGCCGGCCAGGGCCATGGCCGTGAGCCACCGCTGATGCCACGCGGTGGGCGTCCCCGCCATGGTTGACATAAAGGACAAGCACCAGAGAAGAGTACGCGGGCCCTGGATGGGCCAGCCCACCACCTCGGTCTCTGAGAGGCCGTTCACCGTCTCGCCGAACCTCCGCTCGCGCTCGCCCCGCTGGTTGACCGCCATCGGCAGCACCCTGAAGTCGCCAGCAGGAACGGGAAGAGCATCGACCACGAGAGCGCCACCAGCCGCAGCTCCAGGCACAGGCGCCAGCGGCGGCGCCGCGGCAGGGCCAGGTGGCACGGGTCCCAGAGCGGCGGCCAGCGCCGCGACTCCAGGGGCGGCCCCCGGCGGGACGGGAGCAGCAGGACCATCCGCAGGTGGTAGGGCGAGAGGCGGCGCAGGCGCGGCGGCGGCCGCAGCTGCTGGGTCCGCCAGCGGGAAGGGCCCTGGAGGCGCGCCTGCAGCGTGGGCCCTGGAGGCGCGCCTGCAGCGTTGCCCGCCGCGAGAGCCAGAAGAAGAGGGTCCGCTGGCATCGGGTACCCCGCGGCCACGGAGCGACCCACGGCAGCCCACAGCTCCGCGGCCGTCGGCAAGCGTCTGAATCGATGCACTGCGGCGCCGACCAGCGCAGCAGGCGTGTCGCCCTGTCCAGCCAGCGGCAGCACGGCCCGCACGTCGGGCCCAACCACGATCGGCTCATCGTAGTCGTCGAAGTCGGGCGTGACGACATACGCGAACCCCGCCGAGACCCCGAGCACTAAGCGCTCGTGCCACAAAGCCACACCTCCCACGCGGTAGCGAATAGCGTGGAAGCCTCCCGCCATCACTGAAGTGCTGGGGCTCGGCGGCGAGCAAGCCTCACCTGCTCGGCAGCGAGCGCGTCGATGTCGATCACCTCCGAGGGCAGCTCACCACCCGTGGGCTCGAGCGGCGGAGCATGTGCACGACGAGCCACGAGGACGCCTGCACCAGCGCCGACGGCGAGCCCGACCGTGCAGGCGGCCACAGCGTACGCCGCCACGATGCCCGCGCACGAGGGCTCGACCACCTGCCCGCCCGCGCCCGCGCACACGCAGGATGGGCAGGAGAGGGTCGGCGGCGCGGGACACGCCAAATGTGGGGAGCAAGCCCCGCAGCTGGGAGCCGAAGCACGGGCCACCAGCGAGGCCCCCAGTGCCTGCGCCCCGAACCTCAGGACGTCCGCAGCATGGTGGGCGAGGTCCTGCATTCCTGGGCAGGACACCTGAGAAGCTTGAGAATGGAAGTGCGGCCCGAAAGAGAGCCACAAAAAGCCGCGGACAGCAATATGATGATGATGATGATGATGATGATGATGATGATGATGATGATGATGATGATGATGCCGATGATGTTGATGTTGATGGTGATGTTGATGATGATGATGATGATGGTGGTGGTGGTGGTGATGATGATGATGATGATCATGATCATGATGATGATGATGATGATGATGATGATGATGATGATGATGATGATGATGATGATGATGATGATGATAATGATCAGCATCAGCATCAGCATCAACATCACCGTCAACATCATCAACATCATCTCGACCCAGTCGCCAATGCTCTGTACGGAGTCCGGGATCCTGACGGTGCTGAGGGAGCTGCACCTGCAGCACCTGGAACACGCAGCCAATGCTCTGCACGGAGCCCTGGACCGTCACGTCGGTGAAGCTGGACGGCATAGTCCCAGCCCCCCGCGGGACAATCCGCGCAGGTGGACAAAGTCGAGGAACAAAACACGACATGAACAGAAACTTCTGGAGCTCCGCGAGGAGCTCTTAGGTCGGCGCTGGGCCCCCCTCCCTGGCGCGCGGAGCGCGCAGGGGTCGGCGCTGGAGGCGCCGCCGGGGGAGCGAAGCGCAGATATCTGCGCTTCGCTCCCCCCCCCCCAGAGCCCCGAAAATTGGCCTTCTCATACCGTGGACATCCCGCAAAGCCGCGCGGAGCTCCCAAAAGGTACAGCTCGTCGTGCCGCTTCGCCCCCCCCCCCCCCCCCCTGGGAGCCCCGAGAGTAGGACTTCTCATGCCGTGGATGCCCCGCAAAGCCGCGCGGAGCTCCCAAAACAAAAGGCACAGCTCGTCGTGAAGCTGTCTTGCCGTTGCCTCGGCCGGGGGGAGCAGGAGGGCCGAGAGCCCGCGGCGCGAGCTGCAGCCCCCCGGCCACGGCAGGAGGGCGGCCCAGACCCCCGGCGTCGTGCTATTTTCACGACGTCGGCCCCCATGAGGTCAGTGCGCGGCTGGCGCTCTCAGCCCTGACCAAGGTGGCCACACCAACGGCGAGATGGCTCAACGGTGATGTCGGGAGCCGGCTTGCGGGAGATCACGAGCTACACTTTCCGAACTGCACCTTCCTGCATTGCCATTGTGCAAACGTGTCGAACGACAACGACACAGCGAATTGTAGGAAGGCTCGAGCCACGCGGTTCCACAATACCGAAACCTACATCGCAATTACCTACATCGCCGTTAGCGTGTCTACGGCCTAACTCGTAACAATACTACTCATGACAGAGCAGGCAGGAAGCAGAAGGGTGCAGCGTGCTGTGTCACATCAGCACATCATGCACGTACCGCGCACTCTACACGCTGGACGCTTACAGACTCAACAATCAGACCGACTACCAACACTCAAGAAACCATGTGTCACAACCTCCGAGAACAAGCCTGCGATCAAGACCAGGACCGGTTTCTCACCCTGAGTCGTTTATTGACGGTCCCTGGGCCTAGTGAGCAAAACAGGGCTAGGATCGGGATAAATCGCTCCAGAGCGTTCCGGAGCGCTCTCAGAGCGTTCCGGAACGCTCTGGAGCGGCCGCGGCGCCCAATTCATCCTCCAAACCCGCCGATTCTCAGAGACTTCGAGTTATCCCGATCCGATTTTGTCCCGATCTTCGCGTCGTTTTAGTGAGGGCCCCCGAAGGCCGAATGTGGCGAGACACCTCGCGCTGTGTTCTTGTTCACAGCGCGAGGGGGGTCTGGAGAGCGGGTGCCGCGCCGCGCCAGGGCGGCCGCCGGGGCGCCCCCGTGACAGACGGAGGCCCCCGCAGCAGAACACCCGGGAGCGAGAGCGACCTGGAGGCCCCCCTCCCTCCCTCCTCCCTCCCTCCCTCCTCCCTCCCTCCCTCCTCCCTCCTCCCTCCCTCCTCCCTCCCTCCTTCCCTCCTCCCTCCCTCCCTCCCTCCTCCCTCCTCCCTCCCCCCCGGGCCTGCCGGGCACACACCCACAAAAGCTGCAGCCGCAGAGGCCCTCTCGAGAGCCGAAGCAGGGGCAAGTCGCGCATCGCCAGTCGACGTGACAGGGTGACAAACAGACAGACAGAAGCCGTACGCCCACAGGCGCGTCGGCAGGCGCAACATGATCCGTGAATTCACAAATGGGGAAGGGGGAGGACGCGCGGAGGAGAGGGAGGGACGCACGACGAGTGGGGACGCGAGGCGAGGCGGAGCGAGCGAGAGAAGGACGAACGACCAGGGGGGAC